GACTGAGCCACCCAGGCGCCCCCAGGTGACATTTCTATGGAGCTTTTCGCTTGTTTGTTTTAGAGAGAGTATCCTGTACTCATTTTGTCCTTATCAAATATATATATTTTTGGTGTGGGAAGAATGTATTAGAGAATTCGCTTAATGCTTACTGTTCGACTGGGCACAAAACAGCCAGGAAATGACGAGGCTTTGGAAGACACGGCCCAGAAACGTCTCTGTCCCACGAAGTGCCGTTTGTGGCCTCGGTTCTCCTGGGCAGCATCGGCGTGCGGGTGTGGCCTGGGTCATGGCTGGAACTAAGCCCTTTCCCACTTTCAAATCAGTTACACTTCTCGTCAAGGAAGAGCCATCATTCCCAAGGGGCGCCTGGGGGGCTCTGTCCGTTGGGCGGCCGACGTCGGCTCAGGTCATGACCTTACAGTTCATGGGTTCGGGCCCCACGTCGGGCTCTGTGCTGACAGCTCAGAGCCTGGAGCCTGCTTCCGATTCTGCGTCTCCCTCTCTCTCTGTCCGTCCCCCGCTCGTGCTCTATCTCTCTCAGAAATAAATAAACATTAAAAAAAGAAGAAAGAAAGGACCATCATCCCCATGCTTGGCTATTACGTGATGAATGAGTGCCCTCCTAGAAAAGCCGGTTTTCTGAAGCGGTAAAGACAGAAGCTTTGGACTCAGATAGACCCAGGGCAGAATCCTAGTCCAGGGCTTATCGGCCTTAGGTAGGTAATCTAACCTCTCAACAACTCAGTCTCCTTATCTTTGAAATGGGTTTACTCATGCACACGCCACTGGGCTGGGCGGGCACAAAGCCGGGTTCTGAGTGACGGCTCAATAGGCTATCGCGATCACGTAAGGGGTGCTCAACTCCCCATCCCCCTTCACTTCCCCTCTTCTGGAAGGCAGGGGAGGCCTCAACAGTGCAGGGGGGGAGCCTTTAGTACCTTACTTATCACCAGTGGGGCAAAGGCAGGTTTTTACTGGATCAGGGGAGGGAGGAAGGCAAACGGTAGGCAACGTTCAGCATCAGAAGGGCCCTTGTTCCCTAGAGGGCGAGGGAACGACCTTCTGAAGGTGACAGTGACTGAAGCCATCCACCTCTTCCCAGGTTACCTTGTCCCCCAAAGCTTAAAAGACAACTGCTACCAGCGCCGTATGGCCCGGCAGGCTCCAAACCCCGTTGAGAGGGGGCAAAATTGTCCATCTTTCTGGAAAGATCAGGCTAACGAGATACAAGCTCTAGCTCACCTAGTATCTGAAATTCACTGAAGATAAAGAAGCTTTTCCCAAGAGGCAACTTGGGACCCAGGCTGGAGGGGGAGGGAAAGGCTGCTGACAACAGATCCATTCCCAGAATTCTCCATAAAATTATTTCAGCCTGACAAGGCAGGAAGAGCCCGAGCCCGAGTGAGAAAACCCGGGATTGTGTTTGTGCAGACTGCATTTCGAGTATTTGCATTTTACCACAAATAGGCACTGCAAAATGCCAGTGGTGCCTCCTTCACGCTGCGGTAAGGCTCACGGGAGAGAATGGAAGAGACAGCGCCCTGAACATCCCCGTGGACGCGTTATTATTTTTAATTGGGCGCAATCTACCACTCTTTGGTGAACGTAAGGAGTCCCTTCGTGTTGACGCCCAGCGCTCAGACATCAGCCCCGGACCACATTCCTGACATCGCAGCAGCGACCCTGGATAGGCGAGGATCCCAGAACACGCCGGGGGCCAGTCTCGATGCATCCAAACATCAAAACACTATCACCAATTTCAAGGCAGGGCATAAACAGCAGGGAAGATACGTTTGCTTTGTCTACACCAGGCTTTCTGAAACCCTGAGCTGCGTGTTCCTTGCTGTGCCTTGTGGGACGTTTCACAGCACCCCTGGCCACGACCCACTAGGTGCCAGGGGCACCGGCTCCGGTTGTCACACCCCAAAACGTCCCCGGAGACTGCCTAAATTGTCGGGGGGTGGGGGGCGGAGAAAGGGGGTGCGCAGAACCCACTGAGCACTGTTAGTGAGGATAAAGAAAGCGGACAGGGGAAGCCGTCTGTTAGCTGTAATTCTGTGGCTGCAGAAACATGTCAGAGGGGACAGAGTGGGCATGGAAAGGACTGGCCGCGTCACCCTCTCCAGCTGGAGGACTGTCACCTGCGCAGCCAGTGGCCGCCCCTAGGGTTGTCATTTGGGGGACCTGGGGAATGGGGCAGAAGGCCTGCCTTGGACCAAAAGCTAACGTCATCCGATACCACTCGCCTTTTCCGCATCTTCTGCTGGTGACCAGGGCCTGCCCTGCAGGGGAAACCAATGGCTTAAAAGAAAGCTCTTTCTTCTAAGAAACCAGCGTTTCTTACTAATACATCCCAAACCTTCACGCCAACAAAGGGACCCTCTCCCTGCAAAGGTCTATGGGCCACTCGAGGCTGTGTCAGCAGCCTCATCAAGGTCTGATCTTTTTTTATTTTCCAAAGCAGCATATGGACCACAAGAACATCTCTGTGTGTAAGAGCCCATGAGAAACTCAGTCGGGGCTTTGGTTTTTCCCTGGTCTTCTCTGTAATCATTCTGCTAAAGCAGGAGAGCAGTTACATGGCTGAAGAGGTAAGTGTGAAAAGAATCTCGGTCCTGTTCTAGGCATTTCTGAACAGTTAGCAGGAAAGGTGGGATTGGACGATAACATTGCTCCTTGCCAGGCCTCGGCCAACCCCCAGGCCTTGAGGGAGAGGAAAGGGGGTAAACAGCATCTGGGAACGTTCCAGAGGTTGGAGATGATGCCAGAAATTTCCCAAGCCGGGCCACTCCTTTTTCCCTTCCCACCCCAAATTCCAGCCTCCTGCCTTTACACAGCACCCTTTACACCAGGCAAATCAGGAGCAACGATGAAGGCCATTGCTAAACTCCTGGACAAGCAAAAGCACAAGAGGAACCACCACTGAATACACATGTCTGGACTCACCTGCTAAATGTGACCCATCGGCGGGGATTAAAAGAAATGCGTGTCACGTTCTGGGCAGACACCGCTCCCCAGGGACAGCAGAGTCGCTGCAAAGTTTGCTGGAAATTGCGTGGCCTGGTCCTGTCTAAATACCCTCTAGAAGACAGAGTTCGGGTCAAATCCCACAGCCAGGGAGCAGGTGTGCTCTGCCAAAAGCAAACAAAAACTTCTCCCAAACAACAATCAACAGTTGACACCCTCAGCCTGTCAACGCCAATTAGTTTGCCTTTTTAGCCGAAGGCCTCTTAAAGACGGGTCCCCAAACCCGGCCAGGTCGTCTGCAAGCAGAACGTGTCGCGGCCGGGCTGCCCCCACCCAAGGAAGTGACCCTCAGTGGAAACCCTGAACCGCAAGCACAGCCCTTAGGCGCCCTGTACCCCTACGGGGGCCACAGTCAGGGGCCAGGCGGGGCGGGCTTAGAACTTCGCGGCGCTCCAGCTACTCTCCTTTCATGGGCTCCTTCCTGCATAATCATATCAACATTAATATGTGGTTTTGCTGTAACTTTAAACACCTTCAACATTTCATTTGCTTCACGTTTCAGGGAAATCTTAATAGGTTCTTGTGGACCTGAACATTAAGACATTTCCTTTGAAGAATTTCATTCCTTTTGGGTTTTCTTTCTTCTAATTTTAAAAGAAAGCAAACATTTTGTTGGGCCCCTGAAAACTATCGTGGGCCCTGGGCGCTCCTGCGCCTACTGTCTGACGGAGAAGGGAGCCCTGGTTCGGTAGAAACCGGCGGTTTAAAACAATACGGTTACCCATGACCTATACATCCCGCTCGGCACGACTCTGGACTAATTTGAGAGTCCGTTCTGTTGATGAAATACCGACATCATACGCCTGGAATGTAGACATTTTCACTAGTCACTTAAAAGCGATTTACACAGGTGGGCTCCTAGGGACTTAAAAGAAAACAAGACAAAAACCAAGTCATCACACAAGGTAGATTTTCTTCAATATTTTATTTATATAGAAATACTTAAAAAATGAAGTAGCACCATTACTTAAGTTTTACCTTTATTATGTAGAACTTTAAATGTCAGAAAAATAAAACTCTTGATACAATTTCAAATCTTGTCTCAGCAAATATAATATTAGTATTTGACCATGAGGTTAAAGGCCCTTTATCATAAAATAAAATATACTTTGTTTTTTAAACTTTGCTCAGTAAAGTACATTTAAGCTCAAGTAACGTCACCTACATATACATAAACAAGTGGTAAACAAATGTATTAAAATAGGAATACTAAAACTATAGTGGCCCAACAGAATTTTCGTAGCTTGCACTGAATTCTATTTATACAAATGTTAGAAAGCATCAACATTTCCTTTTGATGTGTTTATACATTTCCGTTTTTTTTTTTTGTAGTAATATAGAATAAAATATGCTTTATATCACTGAATAGAAAATATGCTGGGTGAAGCAGATCTGGAGGATTTGTCTGAACCTATAAAATCTCCATCCCAACAGAATACTGTTCAAAACATTACACGTTTTATGGTTTTGTAATTCCGTCACAATTGTGTGGTTATTAAAATAATACAGTGTTCTTTGCCATAAGGCCATACTAAAATAAAAAGATTTAACCCAGCTACAAAAAAGTTCACTGAACTTAAATTAAAATACTTGTAAACATCTTTGCAATATGAAATATAATTTTTCAAGTCAAAAAAGAATAAAATACTTCAATCTGTATTAATGCAATTTCTCTTTAAAACTTTTAAACGTTTTTAATATATAAGAGATATGTTACAGTTTGTTTAACTTTTATAAAGCTGCAGTATCTGGGTTCTCAGGAACTCCCGGCCCTTCCACAACATTCAAAAAGGATCCACTGTGTTCTAGAATCAGCATCGTAGGAACCCAGCCACAAAGGCGAACACGCTTAAAACAGTCCACAGGTCCCATAAACACTATCATCAGCATCTTCATCATCATAATTATTGTTCGGGGTTTTTTTTTTTTTTTTTTTTTCCTACTTTTAAGAAAATGGAAAACTTGTGGGGTTTTCTTCTTCTGGAAGCTTCCTATTAAGTACAGTGTAAAAACTATCATGACTAGGATGTCGCCGTTCCTATTATTTATAGAGCATGCATTTCAGGTGGTTCACAGGCTTCCCAGGCTACTCTCTCGACGCAGACGTCCTGGCAAGTCCCTTTGTTTAAAAATTACGTTTTACAAATGAGCGGATACTACAGCTTTCCAAGCTCCCCCGGGTCCCGGAGCGAGGGCGGGGAGGGGCCGGGGGGGGGGGCCCTCCCCGCGGGTGCGCGCCGCCCTCAGGAGAAGATGCGGATGGCCTGCGTGACCGCGGCGTGGCACACCGGGCACTCGGGCTCGCTCTTCTCGCAGATGCGGTTGGCGCACTCCATGCAGAAGAGGTTGTGGCCGCAGGGCACGAGCGCGGCGATCACCTCGCTCTCGAAGCACACGGAGCAGTCGCGGCTGCCCTTGCGCCGCAGCCCCGACGACGACGACGACGAGCTGGAGGAGGAGCTGGACGACGACGACGAGCCGGAGGTGTCGGACGGCGGCAGGCCGGGCAGCGGCGCCCCCAGCCCGTTGGCGAAGGCGGCGTAGGCCAGGCCCCCCCCGCCCGGGTCGCTGCGCACGCGGCGCGCCAGGGGGTGCTCGCCCGGCCCCGGCGCCGCGTGCAGGGGCGGGGACAGGCGCGGGCCGCCGGCGCCGGGGTGCAGCCGGCGGTGCGCCAGCAGCCCCGGGGCGGCGGCGGGGGGCGCGCCGGCGCCGCCGCCCGGGAAGACCACCGAGGACGACGAGGCGGAAGACGACGCGGAGGAAGAGCAGGAGGAGGCCGCGGGGGCCGCGGGGCCGCCCCCCGGGGAGCGCTCGAACTGCGCCCAGAGCAGGGGCGCCCCCGGCGGGGGCGCGGGGGCCGGGTCGAAGCCGGGCTGCAGCTCGGGGCAGCCGTCGGGGGAGGGCGCGGGCGCCTCCCCCGCCGCGTAGGCGTACCCGTTGCCGTTGTTGTTGTTGTTCCCGTTGTGGGCGAAGCTGAGCGCGGGGCTGGGGGGGCTGTAGTCCGCTAGGCGCGGGGTGGCGGCGGCGCTGCCGCCGGTCCCCCCGCCGAAGTAAGAGTCTGTGGAGGCGCTGCCGAGCGAGCTGGAGCTGTCGTTGCGGTAGCTGGAGAAGGCCTTGCGGCCGGGGGTGGGCGTGATGCTGGGGGTGGGCTTGCTCCACAGGCTGCCGGGGCCGGACCCGCCGGACCCGTGATGCAGGTCGAAGCCCACGTCCGTGCCGTTGGCGTGGAAGTCGTTCTCGTCCGTGAGCTCGATGATCCCGCCCGTGCGCAGGGCGATGTGCGCCTCGATCTCCTCGCGCGCGCGGTCCACGTTCTCGGGCATGCCGGTCACCTCGAACACCGGCTCCTTGTCTCGGCTGGGCGTCACGATGTACGTGTGCGTCTGCTGCTGGATGCGCTTGATCGTGGCGCCCTTGGGCCCCACCACGAGCCCCACCACGCGGTAGGGCACGCGCACCTGGATGGTGGTCTGTCCGGGCAGGTTGGGCGGCCCGGGCACTGCGCCGTTGAGCGCCGTGTTCTTATTCCGCGAGGCGCGGATCATGGAGAAGTGCTCGGCGGCCGAGATGATCTCCCTCCGAGCCATGGCCACATCCTCCTTCCTGCCCGTCACAACAAAGACAGGCTCCTCCCCGCGGACCGGGGTCTTGATGTAAGTATTGGTCTTGGCCCGCAGCGCTTTGATTTTACAACCTGGGAGCCGGGGTTGCAGGGGAGGGAGTGGGAGAGAGAGACAGACACGCCCATTAACCCGGGGTGACCGCGGAGACCTGGGCCCGCCCGCGCCCGGGGCTGCGGGACGGCAGGACGCGCTCCGGGCGGAAAGGGGGCGGCTCCCTCACGGACCCTGGGCCGCGCCACCGGCCGGGAAGCGGGGTCCACCCGCGAGGCGCTCGAGGAGCGGCCCCTTGGCTGCCCGGCCCTCCCCCGGTGACTGCGGTCGTCCCGAGCGGAGCCCAGAATCCCAGAAAAAGTCAGCTGGGGAGATGCCGCCAGGATCCAGCGGGGCGCGCCGTGCGCCCTGCAGGCGCGGCGGAGGGGTCCGCGGGAGAGGGTCGGGGCCGCGGTCCGCCCCCCAGAGCTGGGGGACTGATGGGAAGGGGGGGGGCAGTCCCGGGACCCATTGTTCCTCCTCTGGGCTCCATTCCGCTTTGCAGAAATCCAGAATCCTCCTCCCATCCGATGCTCACTCCTCCTCCTCCCCCTCCCAAAGGACCGATCCAAGGCCCCCTCCCCCAAGCATCTTCTATTTAAATTTTATTTCCCGGGGTGGGCTGGGTGGGGGGCGCCCGGGGAGCGGGCCGGGATTTCAGCAGGATGAGGTGCATCCCGCCGTGGCAGCGGCGCGGCTCGGGGAGACAGCCTGCCTGCACTTTCTTTGTCTGGGGCGCCGGCCCCTCGCGCGGCTCTTCCTCTCTCGTCAAGGCTCGCGGGCGCCGCGGCTCCCGAACCCTCCCGCGCCCTCCCCGCGGGGCGGTGGCCCGAGACCCTCTCCCCCCGCCCCCCCTCCCCGCAGCTCCCCATCCCCGCCGGACCCACCTTGCCGCCCCACGATCTCGGCGACGTGCTCGGAACTGGGCACCGGCACGCACTCGGTCATGTTCACGCTCTTCTTGCGCGGCTCGCTGTCGTACAGAGAGGCGCCCTCGTCACTGTCCAGCCCCAGCAGCGAGAGCTGGTCGAGCGCGAGCTGCAGGGCTCTCTGGTCATCCAGGGTCTCGCCGCCGCCGCCGCCGCCGCCGCCGCCGCCCCCTCCGCCGCCGCCGCCGCTGCGCTCCAGGTCCGCGAACAGGGAGCTGGGCATCGCTCGGCCGTGCGCGCCGCGCCCCCGCCGGCCCTCGGCTCGGCGGCGAGACGCTGCGGCCACAAAGGCAGCCGGGAGGCGAGTGGTCAGGGGCGGGGAGGCCGGCCGGCTGCGGAGGGCTCCGTGGCTCCTTCCTCGGCGCCGGGAGGACTGGGGCGCTCGGTGCGGTCCGCGCCGGGCGGCGGCTGCGGGAGCCCCCGCCTGGGTCCCCACCCCAGCTCTGCCGGCGGGCGGGGCGGGGGCAGAGCTCGAGCGGCGGCCGCGCGTCCCCCCCGAGCGCCCGGCGGGCTGGCCACAATGCCGAGCGAGGAGCGAGCAGGCGAGCGACAGCGGCGTTTCTTTAAGGAGCCCCTCCCCGGCTCCTCCACGCCCGCCCGCCCGCCCGCCGCCCGCCCTCACTCAGCGCTTTTCCTCCTCTCCTCCCCGCCTCTTGACTGAGCCTCTGCAGCCAGACGGCTCCGGAGGGGGACGAGGGAGGCGCAACGTCACCGGCGGGAGCTGACACTACAATGCTACTGACACTATCGCTGGGGGAGGCGATTGGCGCGCGCCGGGCCGGGGGCGGGCGGAGGCCGCGGTCGGGGCGAGCGGGGAGCGGGCGCCCCCCACCCCCGCGCTCGCCGCAGCCCGCCCCGTCCTCCTCCCGGCCGCGCCCCTCCCCCGCCGCCGCTAACGCCTCCCTTTGTTGTCTGATGCGGGACCGGCAGGCTCGGGACCCTCGCGCGCACCCCTCGGCCGAGGACAGTGTGTCCCCAGGTCCCCGCCCCCCCCCCCCACCCCGTGCCCGCCTGGGAAAGGGAAGCGCGCCCGGCTCTGAGAGCGGTCCGCCAGAGTCCCGTTAGCGTCCCCAAATAAACCGCCCCCAGAGCGCGCGGTGCCCCTGGGAGGAGGGTCTACTGCCCGCGCAGGAGGGCAGCCCGGGCCCTCGGACGCGGGGGGCGGGACTCGAGGTCCCGGCGCGCACGGGCCGAGCGGCTCCCGGCGCGGGCTGCCCACCTGCGCGGGAGCGCAGGACACACAAAGGCAGAGGCCCGCCGCATCGCTCCGCGCGCGCGCCCGCAGCTCCGTCCAAGTGGCCCCGAACCTGCGGGTCGGGGAGCCGGAAGCCCGCCCTGCGGCCGGCGGCCTCGGGAGGGCGCGGCGCGGGGGTCCCGCACACGCCCCGCGCGCCGGCCGAGACCCCGCGGGCGCCGGCGCGTGCACGAGCGCCGCGCCGCCACCGCGGGGACGCCGGCCATGGCTCCGGCGGGCGTGCGCGCGCCGCCCTCCCGAGCCTCCCCGCCCCGCGGCCGGGCATGCGCTGTGCGCGCTGGGAGCGGGCGGGCCCTTTAAGGCGGGCGCGGCGGAGAGCGCGCCGGCCCCTCCCGCGGCCCCGCCCCGACGGGAGGTGAGCGCCCGCCGCCCGCCGCTCTTTGTGCGCTGCTCGGGGTGGAGTTGGCGGCGGAGGCCGGGCGCGCCCGGACCGGCCGGCGGGGACGGCGAGCTGCGCCCCCTTCCGGAGCCCGGGCGGCCGCGTCCGAGCGCGAGAGAAGAAAGGAGGCTTTGGGGGCCGCGCCGGGCCGGGGCTCGCCTTCCGCCCCGCGGCCGCCCCCGGGCCCCTCGCGCGCCCCTCTCCTTTGTTGCCGGCGCCCCCGGGCTCGCCGCGCCCCCGCGCCCGGCCGGCCGGGCCGTTCCGCAGGGCGGCCGGGGCCGCGGTTGGCCGGGAGCGCCGGCGTCCGCGCGGCTCGGCGGGACTCGCGCCCGGGACAATGGGGCCATGTGGCCGCCGCCGCGCGCGGACGGGCCCACGCGGGGCGCGCTCGGGGCGCGCAGCGGAGGCTCCCCGGTGCTCGCTCCGCGCGTGAGCCCGGGAGGAGCGCGAGCGCCCGGGCCCCGGTGTGCCATGCGTGCAGAGGGGGCCCGGCCGTACCTGCCCGGCCACCTCGTAGGGTCGGAGAAGTGACTGTGACAGTAGATGCGGTCGCGCTGGGCACTCAGTGGGCAGGGCCGCAAACGCCCTTGGTGCTTCCCCCGTGGCTCACCTGGAGCTGTCTTGGAGGAGAGGTGCTGATTATTTCCTCGGGGAAATGAGGCTTAGAAGGCACTCAGACGGGTTATTTCCTCAGGATGTTTGTATCAGCTTTCCTGAGCGTGCGTGCGTGTGTGTGTGTGTGTGTGTGTGTGTGTGTGCGCGCGCCACCACCTAGTTCTCCGGGTTGACCTGGTTTGTCAACCACCCGTCCCACCACTGTGCTAATGAGGACGGGGTCCTGGAGGAAGGAGGCTCTCGGTGGAGAAGGGCCTCCCGCAGGGCCTGGAGGCACCGGGTCAGGTGGGGTCGGGACCCCACGGCCCCGCGCCGCTTACGTCCTGCCAGCACCGCAGGGTCATTGCTGGCCTCTCAGCTCTGTTTCTAGGAATTTAATAACCTCCCGATTGGGCCCACTGAGGTTTCCCTTTTCAGACAACACCATGAAAGTAAAGTTGTTCCTTGGCGTCCCCTGCTAGGGAGGCCCGCACCCGGGTAACTGGGAACCCTCCCCGCGGGGACAGGCCCGCACACATCCCCCCCCCCCCCCCCGCCTGCCCTGTTAAGATTTCAGATGGGTTAAATCCGAAATTTGTTGAGAGGCTTGCACGCTTCAGAGTCCCTGGGGCCCTTGGGTCATTCCCAGGACGGTGTGGATGACCCTGTGGAACTGACACGTGTCCTTCTCCCCCAGCAGATCATGGAGGCGGGCGCTCTGTCCGGCCGTAGCTCCTGACGTTCAGTGAGGTCGCACATCTTAGCCCACTTGGAGCGTGAGCTCAAACTCTGGCCTGAGGAATTCACGGAGGGCTGCCGATGGTAAGGCGCCCCTTGCATTCCCCGCGGCCCGGGCCGCCCTCCGTAGGCCAGCCTGCTTCGGTAACACCTGCGCAAAGATCCGGTGGCTTTCTGAAGATGCCCGCAGAATCGGAGGGCCTCCCGAGCGTCTAGGAGGGTGAGGGTGTGGTAGCAGGAGCCGTGATGGTTGACAGACCCGACCCCCAGCCGCTGGTCTCTGAGAAGGGGCTCGTAGGCAGCTCCCCACCTGCCTCGGGGGGTTGTCTGAGCAGATGGATAATGATGGAGAAAGGTAACTGGCTGCAAATTACACATACCGAGCAAATGTGTAGGTGGAGTGGCGCTCAACCCACAGCCACTTCTTCTCTTCCCTGCCTGTATCCGGTGCTGCCCAGTCAGGGTATTTTCTGACACTTGAATGCTATTATAAAAGTAACAATCTGGAAAATTTAATTCTCAATTAATGGATTTAACGAGCCAAGACGTGATAAAACTTGCAAAGTCCAGTTCTGCTTTTAAATAGATAATACACCCGCCTCCGTAGTTTTGGGCTAGACTTTTCCCAGGCTCCTTTAGGACCCCGGAGCTTAACTGCTTTTCCCGATACAGGATGTGTTCCCTCAGGACTTCCCCGATGTGGCCATATTTTTAAAATTATTCTTAGCAAGAGCGAGAAGCTTGCAGAATGTGGTCTGGTAGTACAATAGAGGGTCTCAGTTGTCGCACCTTAAGAAAAGGTAAAGTCACTCAAAAACAGCCGAGATTAACGACAAGACCACCTTGGACGTGTTTCCACAGGATCACTTTTCCAGAGGATCAAGCTCCTCTGCACACACCTTGCTTGCTTCTGCAAACTGAGTGGCTGGCAAACGTGGCTGAAATCCTCACGGGAACACTTTGAGTCAACTCACTTCACGTTACTGAGTGTCCGCGTTCTTTTTTACAGGCACCGAGGAAAGTGCTGACGGTGCAGGAATGCACGTGGCAGAGAGGGGTCCCTCCCCCGGGAACCCTTGTCATGTCCAAAGGCAGTTACGCAGCAGGGGTGAGTGCCCAGACGGGAGTAGGGTCCCGGGAAGCCTTCCCAGAGGCGGGATGTTCTGCGTTGTGCTTTCGGAGGTGAGGCGTGAGAACTGAGACTAGAGCCTGGTGCGGCGCTTGGCGTCTGGTAGGAACTCGGTCCGTGTTCATGAAAGGAATGGGTGAGCCAGGTTGAAAAGGCTCCAGGTGTAGTTTTCTTATAGAAATGTGAATGAATAACTGTCTCTGGGAAGCAGCTCAAATGAGCCATAGCCACAACTGCGTCCCTTTGAGAGATCACAGGTGATATTTATTAAGCACTTGCTGTGTGCCAGGTGGTGTATCACACACTGTTTATAGTGCAGTAAATACTTCTGTTGTCCCCATTTTATAGATGAAGGTAAGGTAAGTCTCTGGCCCAGGCAGAGGCACATTTATCTTGAAGCAAGTGAAGCCTGAGCTTCTGGGCCCTTCATGTTCACAGGGCCTTTGCATGGCCATGGGAGGGGTCAAAGCAATTTATTTACAGGACTGCATGTTTTAGTAAGGTTTTCATGAGTAAAGTCTTTATTCTTTTCCTTAAAGAGGACCCCTACGGTGATGTGACCTTTGGGCCCAATAAGGCTCAGATTCGCTGTTGTGCTTCAGGTCACAGCTGATTAATGGTACCGGGGCCTGTGAGCAAAACCAGCCCAAGCTCCTTCCCACCTGTGGGCTGTGGCTCCTCAACTGGGGGTGGGAAATCCTTCCAGCCTGTGTCCCCACGGGACTGTACCGCCCACGTGGGTGAGGGCGCTCGAAAGCGTTTTGGTTTTTGATGTCCTGTTGTTAACGTGCATGTGACATGGGACGTGCAGAACACAACGCTTTTGAAGAATATTCTGGTAAGATGGGAAACGCTCTCCTTACGTTGGATGAACGAGAAAGGAGACGAGGTGCGCACGTTACTAAACCCTCAGGAAATATCAGGAGGAGCAGATGAACAGGCCGGGAAGCAACACATCGAAATTTTCATGACGGTTATTTAAATAGTGGGATCACGTTTTGTTTTCATGTTTCAAGTTCTGAACGTCTTTATTCGATTCATTTTTAAAAGTAATACATGCTTAGTTTAAAAGTTAAATGGTACTAAAAGGCTTCATAAAATCAAAAGCACCCGTACCTGCTGTAAACAGAAGGAAAACCCTAAAGCGAATCCTAGCACACATTTATATTTACAAAAGCATTTGGAATTGTGAGAGTAGAGAAGAAGAAAATGTCATAAGTTTTATAAAATGGGCCTTTAAAAGTAGGTTGACTTCCAAAATTTAAACATTCATTTAGTTAATCACCAGTAATAACCATTCTGCAATGTCAGAAAGGAATAAGAATCAGGAGGTAATTTTAAAACCTCGAAGATACGCAGGAATTGGGGGAGCCTGGAGGCCCACGACCTTCCAGGAGGTGCCCCCTTCTTCGTGAGCAGGGATGAAATGGATCCTTGATTCCCCCACTTTACCCCCAACCCCCTTTCCATGAACCGAGGGATTCTAGCAGGTGGTTAGAACCTCAGGATGTTAGCAAGTGTGTGGTCCTGAACCTTCATCTGGTGGGGAGCACAGGAACGGAGGCAATGGACTCCTTGACAGTCTGGACTCAGGACCCGGAGCCCAGACTTCCGACCCGAAGTGTCCATTCTTTCTCAAGTAACTTAAGGAAATCGGGGCTGCCCCTGGTTCAGCCCTCTCTGTGCCCTGGGCCAGGGTAGGAGAGGCTCAGTCACATCTGCTGCTGTCAAACCCGAGAGGAACAGGGCAGCTGCCCCCCGAGTCTAGGTGGGGGCCGCCCAGCGAGGCGTCTGCGGGAAGGCAGTCTCACCGCCCCTTGCTCCGGCCCCCTTTCCTGAACTAAACGGGGCCCTGTGGTGAGGGCTCCAGGAGCTGGGGACCCTGTGTCGGGGAGACAGTGAGGCGGCGCCGGCTCCGTGGTCCCAGCCGCAGCCTAAGCTCCTAGCGGGACCCCCAGCGCATGGAAATAAGTAAAATGGACAGCGTGCTCTGGCCCGTGGCTGAGTCAGTACCATGCTAAACCCCCGGACAGTGTCGGTTCTCACGGCGTACTGATAAGTGTGATGACCATCTCTGTTCCAGAAAGTCCATTCTGGGAACTAGGATCGGAATCCAGCAACCCCAGAGCCCAAACTCCAAGCAGCCAAACTTCTCAGATAGAAGTGTGTCCAGAAGACAACCAAGACTGAAAAGACTCAAAATCGTGGTGGAAGAGATGTAATCGGTGGAAGGAGCCGGGACTCTTGCAAGAGGAAAGTCTTGGGGCTGAAAGTATTTATTCGTCAGAGTTGAGGATGACAGATGACAAAATAATAACACTGAATTAAATAAAAGGTGAAGTGCATCACGATCCTGGGTGCTCAGTAAATGGAGTTTCAAAGATCAAAAGCGGGAAGGGCACAGTGAACAGTGGAGGGAGAGAGAGTCTTCCGGTACTCAGTGGGAGGCTTGTTCTGTGAAAGTGCAGTGGGGGGTGGGGGAGACAAGGGTAGATGCTTCTGGAAGGCAGACACCAGCAGAGGACAGGAGCTGCCTTGAGCTGGGAGCAGCCTGCAGATGGGACGGGCCACCTCCCAGACACCTGAGGACCACTTAATGAGGGATGTGTGCAAAGGCTGCACTGGCCGTGTAGACAGGTGCTTTGGATCGGGGCGACGTCTTAAGTTTTCCTCAGTCGGCTTGTTGACCTTCGGCTGGTCAGCTAGTCTCTCAGCTTTGGTTTTCCCATCTGTAAAATAGGAATATTAGTCCTTACTTAGGCAACAAAGGTGGGCTACCCTTCTCCGCGCCAGTGGGATGTAGATGTACTCTTGAAGGATGAGGGTTTCTTTGCTCGTCCCCTTCTACAGTGACAGAATACAGAGCGACAAAGATTTAAGCTCTAATCTTTTTTAATAGTTTGTATGACCACACCTTCTCTGTTCTCAGTACTTTAAAATAAATACCTTTATAACCTGAAGTTTTGTCTCGTCAGCATCAGGCTGAGAAGTCAGGATGCTGATTAGTGAGATGCAGCTGTTGAGCATCTCCCAACCAACTCTGAACCACTAGCCAGTTTAACTTCGTGCTACACTGATTTCTTCCCCTGTGCATTTCGGTTCAAAAGATAAAAATTATGTCAACAGAGCTATTAAAATTTTAGCTAATAATAGAATCGTTTTTGTTACGCTGATAAAACAAATCTACAGCTTTATTTAAATTCCACAGCGGTCATTGTAGTAAAATGCGAATGCGGCTATGGCTATGCAGAGAAGATCCTCGGACTCTAACAAGCAAAGAAATACAAATGCGAGAACGCCTTTCAGGAAGCGTGAGGACCAGTCAACTTAACGGAAGAAGTAAAATAGAGGCCTTGATGGAAATTCCACGACTCAGAGAAAAATAAAGAAGATGGGGTCTCCAGCAGCAAAATTTTAAGAAGCATCATAAGTGGAAAGTAGGAAACCGAACACAACTAAGCACACAAAAAGCCTAAAACAACCAAATAAAACAAATACCAACAGGTCGGTAGGAATGGGGATGAGGAAGCTGAACGCCCTGCTGAAGAGAGACCCGTGGGTCCTCAGGGAGAACTTGACCTTGGCGAGGTCCTGGCCGTGGTCTCTGGGGCTGGACTGGCTGGTGTGAGAGCTTCCGGCTGGGCCACCTCGTTTTGAGACCTGGAGCTTCTCTGTGTCTTCTGCCCTCAGCTCCCTCGCCCGTGTCCCTGGGCTGAGTGCAGAGTGACGAGGGGTGCTCGGGGAGTCACCTGTACGCTCCTGTGCGCACCGTGCTGAGCGGCCCGCGCTGGCGTCAGACGAAGAGCTGGGTGGCTCTAGCTGTCGCACAGGGTCAGCAGGAAGCGCAGACGGGAGGGGCTCGCTGTGTGGGACAGAGGTGGACGTGAGCTGGGGCAGAAGCCATCCCCCAACAGGAGGCTGAGGTGGCCTTTTAGAAGCACTGTGTCACGTTGGGTCTTTTCCTGCCTCACAACACGGAGAGAAGTAAGTTCGGGGGCGGGGGGCGGGGGGCGGGGGGGGCGGTCAAGGAGTTAAGCTTGAAGAATGAAATCATAAAAGATCTGAATAGAAACAGCTGGCTGTTTCTAGAATTTTGGAGTAGGAGAAGGGCTCTCTGAGTGCGACCCTACGAGGGAAGATCATTTAGGGGAAGGCTCTTATAGAACAAGGACACTGTACCGCGGGCCAGAACCCCGTACAGGAGGCCTCCCCAGATGTGACATACCAGTGGTGACCTTGGGGGGCACACGGACAAGCCTGTTTTAACTATTATACACTCATGTATGTATGTATGTATGTATTTTCAGATGAGATTTTTTTTTAAAGTTTGTCAAGTTGGTTTCCATAGAACACCCAGTGCTCATCCCCACAAGTGCCCTCCTCCGTGCCCATCACCCCCCTTCCCCTCCCCCATTCACCCTCAGTTTGTTCTGGGCATTCAAGAGTCTCTCATGGTTTGCCTCCCTCCCTCTCCCTAACTTTTTTCCCCTTCTTCTCCCCCACGGTCCTCCGTTAAGTTCCTCCTAATCCTCCTATACGTGCAAACCTATGGTATCTGTCCTCTGCCTGACTTATTTCGCTCAGCATAATTATACACTCATTTTAATTATCTTATAAAATCGTATTGGTATATGAACCCTTAGAATTCACTGATGTCAAGGAAGGAGAAGTTGAGTCGATATGTATGTTTTAAAAGGAAGTTAATCTGAACAACTATTAGGTGAATAATATTACAGTTGGTTCTCAGATATGGTAAAATATATAATGCAGATGTTACGTGAGTGAGTGATGACTGGAGGTGGAAATGATGGATGAGAAGATGCTCTAATTAGGTGAATTCTTTAAGGATGAATTTATAATTAGAATTAAAGAAATTTTCAAAAATGTTTTTAATGTTTACTTATTTCTGAGAGAGAGAGAGAGACCGAGCACGAAAACAGGGAGAGGCAGAGAGAGAGGGAGACACAGAATCTGAAGCAGGATCCAGGCTCTGAGCTGTCAGCACAGAGCCCAACATGGGGCTCGAACTCACAAACCATGAGATCATGACCTGAGCCAAAGTCAGCTGCTTAATGGACTGAGCCACCCAGGTGCCTCTATAATTAGAATTTTACACAGTCCGTCAAAGTACAACTTTTTGGGGGATGTGGGAGGTATGGAATCTTCCGGAAGTTCATCTGAAAGATCACAGAAGAACCAGGGGGTTAGGAGCAGCTGTCACGACACCAGGCATCAGCACCTTTTATGACCGTGAAGGGACACGAGCGTGGCATCCAGGCCGAGGAGAGGACGTTCAGAAGCCGGTGCGAGATGGTGTACGTTCCTCTAGGCAGGTCCCGGGCGCATCTGTCCTGCGGGCACCGGGCTGGGGCGGGGGGATCGGGAACAGCGAGGGGGACCCAGGGTGAGCCGTCTGGAAGGGAAGAGCACACGGATGAGCTGACCGACAGGCATTTGTGTGACATCACGACTCTGACAAGTGCCACCGAGGACAAGACTGTGGTGCAAAGAATTTATAAAAGGGGAGACCTGGCGACTTTACTATGCAGAGGACTTCATCTCGGGCCTCAGAGTCCATAACCGATGAGCTAAGAAAATGTTTTCACGCATGGAGTGAAAGAGTAAGTTGTGATATTTCTTGAGCACCTATTACGTACGAGGGTGATGCTGGTTCTGTCACTCAGTAATCTCAATAGTCCAGTGAAGTAGGGACTGTCCTTATTGAAACTTCTGCCCTGAGGAAGCGGGGCCTGAGCTGGCCAGCGGCAGGCACACCCGGGCCATTTGAGTGCGAGTTCTTGCTCACTTTTTTTAAAAACACTTTTGAGAAATAAAGGAGGTATGGAAACCGGGACACGTGCCGCGTATGATTCGATGGCCTTGCACGTGTCCACGCACCTGTGACACTGTCCCCAGAGTCCAGATGACAGACGTGTCCGTCACCCTCGTGAAGGTTCCTGCCATCCCTTCTGTCTGTGACAAGAACTCTAGCATGAGACCCAGCCTCTTCAGTTTCTGAGCACCCGACGCCGTGCTGTTGCCTGTGGGCACCGGGAGGCACGGCAGAGATCGAGGGCGTGTTCATTCCACACAACTGGAGCATCTTGCACACCCCGCTGGGGTGAACATCCCACCTCCTCGCGGAGGGACGTCTCCTCCTCCCGGGGTCCGGTAACCACCGTCTCGCTGTCTGCTTCTGAGTCTGACCGTGGTGACTTCCCGTGCAAGTGGGACCCCGCGGCGTTCCTTCTTCCGCGACGGACTCGGTTCACTTAGTACAGGGTCCTCCATGTCCAACCCACATCGTCAACGGATTTGAGCCTGACCAGTGTTCCCGTGTACGTGCATCCCACGTTTTCTTCATCCATTCAGCCGTCTGTGGACACGTGGCTGTTTCTACGTCTTTGCTGCTGTGAATGATGCTGCCGCCGACGGGAGACCGCAGCTACGTCTTCAAGAACGTGACCTGGGGTATGTATACCCAGGAAGGGGACTGCTGGGCCATGTGGCGCATCCATTTATTGTGCGCGGAACCTCCGTGTCGCTCCCCTGAGCACCTGTGCATGTTCACACCTCCGCCAACAGTGCACAAGTGCTCCAGCTTCGCCGTAGGATCGCCAGCACTTTCTTCTGTTTTGCTTTGTTTTAGAATAGCCGTCCTCGCGGGGATGATGGGGGTGCCCCATTGTGATTCTGATCTGCGTCTCCCTGAGGATGGGTCATGTCAAGCCTCTTTTCAGGTGTCTGTTGGCCGTGTGCATGTCGTCTTTGGAAAACCATCTATTCGAGTCATTTGCCCATTTTGGTTTTCATCTGGTCTTGGCAGTGGAAGCACGGCTATGCCACCAAAAGCAGAGTCTACAAAAGCATAAAGACACACAAGTGGGTCGACATCAAACTGAAGGCCTCTGCACAGCAACAGAGGCAGGCCACCCCCAGAACGAGAAGGCAGCATGAGAGACGTTTGCAAACCACATGCCTGAGAAGAGACTGACATCCAGACTATATAAGGAGACTGTACAATTCCAAATACAAAAAAAAAAACACCAAAAACAAAAAACCCCAAAATACACAATAACTCAATGGGAAAATAGGCAAAGAATTTAAAAAACATTTCTGCTGGGACACCTGGGTGGCTCAGGTCATGATCTCAGGATTCGTGGGTTCGAGCCCCGCGTCGGGGTCTGTGCTGCCAGCTCAGAGCCTGGAGCTGCTTCAGAGTCTGTGACTCCCTCTCTCTCTGCCACTCCCCTGCTCACACTGCCTCTCTCTCTCTCTCAGAAATAAATAAAACATTAAAAAAAGAAAAAAAGGATTCAGAGCTCCCAGCCTCCGTGGGGTTCTGCCCCAGCCCTTGGCCACACGGGAGAGCTGGCCTTGGCCGTGATCTGTTTCTCTCACCCCTCTTCCCCGCGCACCAGGCTCCTGCACCACTAGGGTCTCAAGCACATGTGTGTAGACACCCAGCTCCGTCCACACTCTGTCCCTGCCAGCAGCCGCTCCCTTTGACACACCTCGGGCACACTGCTGGTGGAAGACGGAAGGGGCTGTCGGGGGAGAGGCGCCCAGGCCCTGAGAAGGGCCTTCTGGGCAGGGAGGCCCCACCGTGACTCCGTGCCGTGGGGAGCGGCAGCCCGAGGTCAGGCAGGCAGCCAGAGTGGGACCTTACCTTGTCCAACGCCTAAAACAGTAACAACAACAAAAATACATATAATAAAACAACTTAAAATATACACATATAACTATTTGAGTTAGAAAATAGTAATTGAAAATAGTACTTTATTCTCTCCATTTTACATTTGGGGAAAAAATAACAAGGGAGCCTCTGTGCCCGGGACAGGATGGCTGTAAGGCCGCCTTCCATCGCCCACCCCTCCTCGCTCGCTGCCTCCCCTCCCTTTCTCCCCCTGCCTGCCCGCCGTCCTCTCTTCCTTCCCTCCTTTCCTTCCTGCATCACACAAACATTCAGAGAGCGCACCCCGTGTGCCCGGGCCCAAGGGTTCACGGGTGGTCGGGGCAGACGCGCCCAGGCAGCTGCAGCGTAACGAGGAGACTAGCGTCGATCCGCACAAACACACGTCTAGTTTCAAACTGGGACAAGTACACTGACCGATAAACGTGTGTTGATTTGCGTGTTGCCTTTGATTTAAGGCTTCCTGCTGAGCCAGGGAGGAAGGTAAATCTGGTTTTCTCTTAAAGCCAGGGGCCTTAGCATGTTCTCACAGACCTTCAGAATGGACGCGCTGCATACGGCTAGCCAGAATCGGACGCGCTTCCTACAGGCATATAAGCTCATTAAATCAATTCTGCTACTTTATGGAGGTAGTAACACGTTACCAGAACTTTCTGAGGCACATGTTCTGGCAGCGTCACAGAGCCAACTGTCCAATTAGAGAAGGGGGGGCGGTGACTAGAGCCTGTGCCGGATTCTTAGGGAAGTGCAGGAGGCTGGCTGGACAAGGGGCCCCCAAGGCCCTGATGTGCCCTCCTGAAGTCCCAGCACCAGAAAATGGGAGAGGCGGGATGCCTGGTGTCTCGTTACCGTTCTTCTGCGTCCCCTACTCTAGATGATTCCTAGTGAGTGGGCCCTCGTGGGGCGGGTGGGGCGGGGGGGGCGGCAAGCAGTCACTTTAAAACTAGATACAAACTCGGTCAGTGGACAGCAGGAGGGGGAGCGGCTCTGGCTCCTTCCTTCTGTGCAACTTAATCTCCTCCACGTGGACTGAGGCGCAGAAGACCTAGACATGGGCTGTCTCTCAAGGGCTCTGTACTAGGGGGCAGAATGCTCGGGGGAAAATCCACTTGTGGCGTGAGCATCAGCAATGTGGATTTCTGATTGCCTGTTGATCTGGTGGCATTTCACTGGTTTTCAGGTCTCCGGTGAGGAATAAATAAATCCCCGTGGCATTTCCCTTGGGAAAGGACTACTCTACTCTCCCTTTACCGTACTTAAGGGTCAGTTAGACAAATATTCCCCAAGATATAAAAGCGACATATCTTCCTCTTCCCTTGCCCCAGACTAAACGTTCAGCTTTAAAAATTTCTTATCTCTGGGGTACCTGGGGGGCTCAGTCAGTTAAGCATCCAACTTTGGCTCGGGTCATGATCTCCCGGTTTGTGGGTTCGAGCCCCGCGTCGGGCTCTGTGCTGACAGCTCAGAGCCTGGAGCTGCTTCGGATGCTGTGTCTCTCTCTCTCTCTGCCCCTCACCTGTTCACTCTCTCTCAATAAATACACAAACAAAAATTTTTAACTTCTCCTGCAGAGGGAATCTTATTTCTAACACTGGTTCTACACACACACACACCTCCCCGCACTTTCCTTTCTCAGGTGCAGGTGCGCTGGGCTGAGGAGCACCCACGGGAACTGGCTCACGCTGGCATGGGGTTCCTGCCCCTCGCTAGCGCCTCTCCTGCTGCCTCGTGTCCTCTCGGGGGGCCCTAGGGATCAGCCTGGACACTGAGAATGAGTGGACCCCCCCACTGACTCCCAAGGAAGGTCAAGTCCTGCTCCCTCGTCTCCGTCTGGCACCGGGACTCCCACCTGGGATGACTTTCCTCTAAGTTGCCTACAAACTACAAGACAAATAGAGGTTTTGGGTGTTTTGTTTTGTTTGTTTTTACCAGAATCAGAGGTCGGGAGAGAATGAGGACAGGGCTGAGGAAGGGAGACGTCTCTTCCATGAGGCTGAGCAGAGAATGAGGACTGAGGGCGTGACCGGCTTGGTCAAGGCCAAGGCCGAGCGGGACGCAAACCCAGCTACCCGTGGAGCTTCGGCCGTGTTCCAGGACGGCACCCACCACGTCCCCGGGACCGCGGGCACCCCTCCTCCTCCCTCCCCTCCTATCACGTCATCACCTAGGGCCACCGTCATGAGGCAGCACCAAGCCGGCGGCTCCCCTGCCGCACCAGACCCGTACAGCCTCCCGCACTGCCTCCATCTACTCGTTTCTAGAACGAGGGTGGTGAAAGCCGTTGCTCTGAACGCGCGGATGCAGTGCCCCGCACAGTGGAGGGCGCCGCACACGCCAGCTGCCCCCTCGGCCCCTGCTGTCTTCCATCCGCACGGCTCTCTGCATCTCTGGCCCGAACGCCCTCTTTAAAAATTATTTTCTGTGCATGATCCTTATCCTCTGAAGCCGCACGCACAAGCCACCTCTCCAGGGAAGCGTCCCGTGCCGACCCCTTCACGGCTTCCAGCTGAGAGTCAGGGTCCCCGTGCCTTCAGCCCAGTGTCCGTGCTCTTCGTGGCTCTTTCTCCCCCTGCGCCCCACCCCTGCATGTTTACCTGGGGACGCCCTGCGGCACCTTTTCTGTTCTCTCAGACACGACTCCCCACCCCGTGTCCATCCCCACCCATGGAGAATGGGGTGACAGCCGTCCGTGCAGGGTGCACGCGGCGTCAGCCGAGGAGATGACTCGAGTGCCACGCGCGGACAGGTGACAGTTGCCCGCACCGAGGCTGCCTCTGCGGAGCAGGTGCTCAGAGCGCGTCTGCAGGGCGCCCGCCACAGGAGCGGGCACAGGGCAGGGACACTGCGGGCGCACACAGGCGCGGTGGTGGACGCAGTCGGCACACGTGGGGGCCCAGCCGGCTGTGACCGTCCCCACTCCCAGCGGGCGAGTCCGCAGCCACGCGGAGGCCACTGTGCACACGGCCCCGCGCTGGGACGGGGGCTGCACGGCTGCAGGGCCCCACTGTTGCTGAGGGTCTGCGCCTGCGGCCGGGGCCCCGGCACACACGCTGTTCCTGCGTCCGCCCTGCACGTGCCGGGGGCCTTCTGCAGCCACGGGCGTCCCTGTGCTGCCCGGGTCACACCTCCCCCGGAACTGAGCCCGCCGAGCCCAGAACGGACTCCAGACACGCAACCCGGGAGGGGAAACCGGCCACATTAAGTCACGCCGTGGGGTCCCCGTGCCAGCGCCGGGCGTTCACCCTGCCCGGCCCTGCTCTCCACATTTCAGACAGAAACATGCGGGTCACCCTCTTCCCTGGGGTGTCCCTTTTTTCCAAGCAATTTTTTTTTTAACTTTTCAGAATTTCAGACTTCTAGGAAAGTGCGAACGCAAGAACAGTACAAGGAACGCGTGTATCTTCTTTACCCAGACTCGTCTACGGTAACATTTACCCACTTTGCCGTATCGCTGTCTCCCGCCCCGTGTATGCGTATGCACGTCGCACACAGTTTCTGAGACCCTCGCGTCTGCGGGCTCGCCGTGGCCCTCCCGTCCTGACACGTCGTCGCCCACCTGCTAAGAACAGGGTCCTGTCCCACAGACCCCACTGCGGTGACCCCGGCAGTGCGCCCTGTGTCCACGACGCCCTCATCGCATCAGCTGTCCTGCTCTGGTGGTGTCGGGCAGGCTCAGCGCCGGTTGTTTTTTTTTTTAAACATTTATTTTTTTAGAGGCAGGGAGAGACAGAGCACAAGCAGGGGAGGGGCAGAGAGAGAGGGAGACACTGAATCCGAAGCAGGTACCAGGCTCTGAGCTGTCAGCACAGAGCCTGACGCGGGGCTCAAACCCACGAACTGCAAGATCATGACCTGAGCCCAAGCCAGATAGATGCTCAACTGACTGAGCCCAAGCACCTTATTTTTTTTTTTGAGAGAGAGAGAGAGAGAGAATTTCCCAAGCAGGCTCCACACTGTCAGCCCAGAGCCCCACGCGGGCCTCAAACTCACAAACCGTGAGATCATGACCTGAGCTGAAGTCAGATGCTTAACGGACTGAGCCGCTCAGGTGGCCCTGCGCCTTTCAAGTTCAAAAAGAGGAAGGAATCCCAAAGAAGAAACGCTCAGAGAGCCAGAGGGCTGGGGCAGGAGGGGGTGAGGGCGGCCGAACGCAGGGGTGTGAGGGCACACGATTTGCAGGCATGATTCCCGCGAGCAAGCGCACACCAACAGTCACCCCCAGCGCCCGGCAGGTGTGGCCAGCAGGCGAGACCGGAACTCGGCAAGTGGACCGCCTCACACAGCCCTGCCCAGCCCTCCCCCTTCAGAGCTCAAAACAGCCGGACACTTTCCCGACTGCAAAATTAATAACGCTCGGCACGGACGATTCTGAAAATACTGTTTTTCAAGTCTCTTTCCACGCGTTCAATGAAGACTGTAATAGCTTTGTTACCTGGCCTGTCAAGTTAATTAAAAGGCTGATTAGTGGAGCATCAGGTCAGGGGACCCCACGCAGCACCCCCTTCTGCCTGCCCTCCTGTAACCTGTTAGCCCCTGGAGAAGCCCCCCTGCGCCGCCCCAGCCCCCTTCTCACCACGGGTGGGAAGCGAGCCGCTGTGGTGCGGGCTTCCCCAAGGGCGGCCCGTTCTGAGAGCAGTGGATTTCGCTGAATGTAAAACCCAAGCTTTAAAGTAAGACCCCATGTGGGGAGGGGGCGGTTCTTAACCAGAATCTGGCAGCAGGGACACCAGGAGCTTTTTCAGCTACTGACCACCCCTTCCCCTCTCCCATCCCACTTTTGGAGCAGGGGTGGGGAGTGCAGGGCCGATAGCTCCCAGGGGACACTGGTTAAGAACCTCTCCATCAGAGGGTCTTTGTTCCCTTCATGCCCCTGGGAAGGTGCCCAGAGGGAGCTACCTGTGCCAAAGCCCCAGGCTGGGGCCCCCATTAGAGCTCCACTCATGCCCTGCCCCACTCACCCCCGCCCCCACTCACCCCCCGGTCCCACTCACCCCCCAGCCCCCACTCACCCCCCGTCCCACTCACCCCCCAGCCCCCACTCACCCCCCAGCCCCCACTCACCCCCCGGTCCCACTCACCCCCCGGTCCCACTCACCCCCCGCCCCCACTCACGCCCTGCTCCCACTCACCCCCGGTCCCACTCACCCCCGCCCCCACTCACCCCCGCCCCCACTCACCCCTGCCTCACTCACCCCCTTGTGCCTTTAAAGAGCACAGCCCCTGGAGCTTTTAGAACAGTTTACTTCCAGACAGTACTTGCGGGCTCCTGGTCTCCCAGGGAACAGACTACTAAGTAAAGTGAACCACGGGTGCCTGAATGTGGCCTCAACGTGGCTCCGACAGCAATGACAGAAACCGGCATGAAGCAGACATGTGATGCCTCCAGGTGACCTGTCCTGTTAACATTGCCTTTTTAGGAAAAAAAAATGTTTCTGTTTTTTTCTGGTTTAAAAACTAGAGACTCTCGGTTTCAGCTCAGGTCAGGATCTCAGGGTTCGTGGGAGTGACCCCTGTGTGGGGCTTTGCGCTGACAGGGCAGAGCCTGCTTGGGATTCTCACTATCCCCCACCCCCCAAATAAATTAATTAATTAAAAAAAAAACTTAAATCTTTTCTTCTACAAACAGTAAGGTTGTGTTTCGCTTCACAAAGGGCCTCTAAGAGGGCTTCCCAGCAGAGGGTAGGTCCCCCCAGGGGGCTGGAAATCTGATTTCAGTTTATAGCTGTGGGTCTCCCAGAAACCTCGGAGCGCGCAGACTGCACAGGCGAGGGGCAGCCGCCACAGAGGTGGCCTGAGCGTCCCCAAACCCGCACCTGGGTAGCGGTGCTCTTGACGAGCAATGGTGCTGGCTGGTGGCTCTGCCCGGTGCACCCTCCCCACCCCCCGCCCCTCGTCCCCGACCTTGAACACGGCCAGGCCTTGCGGCAGCGCACACAGCTCCCGGCCCCTTCCTCCTGAGGGCTGTGGAAAATGATGAAAACCAACACGTTCTTGAGAAACACCTGACTGTGCGCTCGAAGTGGAGCTGGAAGGAAAGGCGCAACTCCTTCCCTGCCTCTGCGTGTTGGTGGTGTTTGCGGAGACGCGTGGTTGTGGAACAGCACGCTACTCAATCCAGCCTTAAAACACGCCCACACCCCCCACCCCACAGGGAAACGTGTCGGAAGGGCCCGGAGTCTCTGGCAAGCGCAGGAAGTGCAGCCCTGACCGCGGGGGGCTGGGCCGCTGGGTGGCGAGAGGAAAGAGCGGCAGCTTACTCTCTTCGTCTCCGTGGGGCTGCTGGCCCCCAACAGTCTCTGCGGCTCTGCCGCTTTCCCTCTCGGGCCACCTTCCTGTGCTTACGTCCTGTGGTTCCTCAGTCCAAATGCCGACGAGGCTCCACGCGGCGAGCGCTGCTGGACGGGGCTGGTTCCGCCAGCCGGGCGTCATCGACGGCTCCCCTTCCAGCTTCAGAGTCCCCTGCGCCTCTTGGAAGCACCCCTACAGCCCGTACTGCCCGCAGGGCCCTGCCCAGGCTGCCGCATTCCACTCCACCGCCTGCCTGGGCAGCGGGTCCCTGTGACCCGGGCTCAGGGGGCGAGCACGTGTCGCACACGCGGCCAAGGCGAGGCTCAGCAGGCCTTTCGCCGCACCCGTCACCCGTCGGGAGAGGAGATTTCCCCTTCCGCGGGCGCGGCCCACGGCCGTCGGCGTGCCCCCCGATGAAGCGAGCGCAGATGAAAAGCAGAGCCGAGGAACAGAAACAAATGACGGACGCTGCGGTTTGAGCAGCTCAGTCTGAACACATCGGAAGCAAGTGGACCCCGAAAGCCTTTCTGCTGCTTAGGCCAGTTTGGGCCAGATTTCTGTCCCTTTTGCATCCAGAGACATGGCACCTAAAACCCCAGTGGAAAGAAGCCACTTTCATCGTCCTTTGTCAGCTTCCGCCTCATCAGCCAACGCTCGCACAGCGGAAGGGCTGGAAAGCCAGGAGAGAGCGTGGAGCCCACATGGGAGCTCCAGGCCTTGGGGTGGACGGAGCCTGGAGCGAGCGTGCAAGCGGGGGTCCACGCATCACGCGTCCAAATGTTTACAAGTGACCAACTGAGCTAATAAGCTATTAAAGATGGCGTACCCCATCCTTCCACCTCGACACACGCCATCTTCATTTCTGACCTAGAAGGCCAGATCCGAGTGCAGAATCCTCCAAGCAGGTGAGGGGGCACGCTCAGCAGGCTGGCCAGGGCCTACAGATGACCACGGCGCCTTCCCTGTTGCCATGTGGGGGGGGGTTGCGGGCCAGTCCAGCCAGTCCGCCCCACCCTTACAGGACCAGTGGGGTCTCAGGGGCTCCACCAGTCACTGCATGCCCGTAAGCCTCCCTTCCAGAATCCTCAGTGGGAAGGGCCAGGGTGAGGAAATGGTTGGAAGGCTTAGATCACTTGAGGCCAGTGCCCCCCCCAAGTCCCACCTCTGCTACATCCTGGAATCTGACCCCTCAGGCATGCCTCCTGGGGGGCCCGGGAGGCGTGACCCCAAGGTTCTCCCAGACCAGCAACCTCTCTTCTTCTTCTTTTTTTTTTTTTAAATATTTTTATTTATTTCTAGGAGAGAGAGAGAGAGACAGCGTGAGCAGGGGAGGGTCAGAGAGAGAGGGAGTCACAGACTGAAACAGGCTCCAGGCTCTGAGCTGGCAGTCAGCACAGAGCCCGACGCGGGGCTCGAACCCACAAACCGCGAGATCATGACCTAAGCGAAAGTCGGACGCTTAACCGACTAAGCCACCCAGGCGCCCCCAGCAACTCTCTTAACAGCACCCTAGCAGCCTCTTTAATTTGGGAAGTTGTCAAGGACAAAATTAACACCAGAGACGACCTATATACAAAGACGATCCAAGCAAGGAAACGAGCATGAGCGCCTCTTCCGAGTTCTGGGGCCCCGGGCCCACCATGCTTGCCCTGGAATATGCAACCCGGAGGCGGCACAGGGCAGACGGGGCTCCGGGGGGGACTCACGGACGCCCCCTCCCACCTGTGAGAAGCAGGACTGACAGACACGTGGGACTCACAGACGCCTCCCACCTGTGGAGGGGGGACTCAGGGATCCCGCCCCCCACCTGCATGGAGCAGGACTCAGGGAGGCGCGGGACTTGCGGACGCCCCCTCACCTGCGCGGGTGGGGCGCGATGGTCTGAAGTGCTTCCTGGGCCCCGGGTGGCCAGCAGCAGGGGCCTGCCTGGGTGTCCCAGCTGCCGCGAGCAGAGTGCACAATCGGCGACGCAAGGAGCCGCTCCTGCCTGCCCACCCCCGAAGTCCCTGCCTCTCCCCAGCCACAGGAAAGAGACGACCGGGGAAGAAAATCCAGGAAGCCTTCCTGTAGGCAGCCATTGTCACGCCCGCAGACCGCCTCCCGGGCCTCCCCTGGTGACGCAGATGTTCCCACAGCTGTTTTACGCGTGCACGCACACCCCGCGCTGCTGTGCGGACACTCACCGGTGGCACTGGAGCGGACGAGTTCTCTGAACAGCTTCACCTTCGTCTTAAACACGCTCCTTTCGGGCATTGGGTTTTTTGCTGTTGTTGTCGTCGTCGTTTTTTCCCAATGTCAGATACAGCGCGGGGCCCAGAGCCCTTACGCTCTGCTGAGCTTCCCCCTCAATTTTCTTCGGAGACATTCTAAGGAGATGATCAAAGCAATACCGCACTCAGATCAGGCAGAGCGTCCCTCCGTCCCCCTTCTGGGCGCATCCCTCCCCCTGTGAGGACGAGTCCCGAAGGGAACTCGCCCCCTTCAAGTCCACAGCCCCTCCTCCGGGGACCTGGGACGCCCTCCAGAAGCCCCTGCCCCAGCGACCGCCAGCTCGTGTCGTCATGCCTTCCGGATCTCTCTTCCTGAGGTCCAATCTCACCAGCAGTGGGCACAGACGTGGGCGTGAGGGGTGGCCGAGGGGCACCGGGTCAGTGGACAGAGTCTGCACGTGTGAGCCGGGCTGTCCACACACAGCCGTGCAAGGTCACTCCTGATGCCAGGTGACCCAGGGGCTGGGGAGAGAATAGGTCTGGGGGCCAGAGTCTGAGAACTTTACCCCCGAGCCTGGCCTTCTAAGTGCTGTGCAAGCCCATCGGTCAGGAGAGAGAACAAGACGCATTTTACCGAATGGTTCACCCACTTCTTACCCCAACTACTGAAGCACATGGGGGGGCGAGGCTCCAATCTCACCTGGGACCCTGGGCGTCCTCGGAGTCCTGGATCAGAGCTCGTGACCACGTTCACTGCCGCTGGCTCCGTCCGCACGGCCACACGCTCTTCCCAAAAGCCACACTGGGCTCCGGTCTGGGCGCGGGGCGGGCAGCAGGGCTTCCAGGCGTGGACTCAGTAGGCTGGGGCCCTGCCGCACTGTCGCCCCCGCCCTTCTCCGAGCACCCGCAAGAGTAGTAATAAAACCACCCTTTCCTGAGCCCTTACCGTACGCCGGGCACCACAGGAAACACTGCATTTTCTCATCTGCGCCTCCGGCAACCCTCTGAAGTAGGCTCAACGAGGGCCCTGATTCTGGACAGAACAGCTAGAGGAGTCAGTGCAGGAAACCTGGCTACCGGTTCTTTCTACCCCGTCCGGACCCTCCTTTCTGCCTCTTGCTCTGCTCTCAGCCCCACCCCAGCCCCTGCAACCTCTGTGGATGCACCCTGGACGTGCCGTGTGGATGGAACCGACTCCATGTGGACGGCCTCTGCGCCTGCCCTGGACACGGAACTGACACCGTGTGCGCCCTGCATCTGTTCTGGACACGCCGTGTGGACGGACTCGGTTCTGGACACGCTGTGTGGGCAGGGCTGCCGTGTGGACGGCCTCTGCGCCTGCCCTGGACACGGAACTGACACCGTGTGCGCCCTGCATCTGTTCTGAAGGTGCCAGGCGGCCCATGTCTCCCAGGCAGCAGCCTCTACGAACGGAAGGTTTCACACGGAACGACTCGTGGGCTCCTCGCGACAGCTGATCCCACGAATGCACCAGAGGGAGAGCCCCATCATGGGGGCGTCTCGCTGTGCTTTGACACTGTGGGGGTGGGGAAGAGCACACAGCAGGGGTGGGGGACACGCCGGGGGGCCTGCTGACCTGAGGACGGTGGCAGAGGGTGAGGAGCCGTTGCCTTCGCTGCAGAAACCACGTCAGCCGAGATGTCTCTGGGCAGAAGAATGAGGATTCAAGACTCGCCACGAGCTGAGATTTCGGGGAGGTGGTCTCACCAGTAAGGGTGGGGTGTGGCAGGAAAGGTGCTGATGGCTACCAGCTCAGTGCCCGGCAGCCTGCACGACGAGAACATTACAAACAAGACTGTAAACGCTCACTGACGAGCGGTGGCAGTGCTCTCCGGGCCTGAGCTCGTCAGCCGTGCCCACCCGACACCGAACCCCAGCGCCGCCCTCTGAGGGCCAGGGCGACACCATCAGGATGCGGGTGCTGGGCGTCCGGGTCTGGAGAAGGAATGTCAGGAGTCCCAACGGAGCTCGGCCAGTCTCTCAGGGTCCCTTCCAGGGGACAGAGCAGATAAACAATTTTCCTTGTACGGTTAACTGTTTGAAGGGTGCTGAGCAGAGAAGAGAGATGGGCTCACTCTTTTCTCAGTGCCCAGGGCGCCAGGCTGGGGGGCTGGGGGTGGGCGCTGCTTACTGAACACCAAGCTCAGGGGCGTGCAGCTTGTAAGTGGCAGAGCTGGGACTTAAAGCTGCACCTGCCCGACACCCGAGTCCCCTTTCTCCGGGAAGTCCCCCCTGACTATGCCAGGAGCCCCCTGACGTCTGACCCTTCCTGTCAGGTGACCTCTCCTCGCACTACCAGAACCCACACACCCACTCGGTTTCGACTTTCATTTGCCCCCCCACCCCCGACACGAGTGGACCCCTGCCAAGCCCCCACGCCACCTCTTGGCCCCCGCGTGTAGCCGGGCTGCCCGCTTCCACTCATGTTCCGGAGAATGACTGAGCGAATGAACAGCATCAGGCTCAGAGTGGGCTGGGGGTGCCCAGAAAACACCAGCGTGAACAAAGAAGCACCCAGAGGTCGTCATCTGGTGAGACATTGTGCTCTGAGCTCGGGGGCTGGTGCTGCACCCCGACTTCCAGGGGAAGCAGCTGAAGACTCCGACAATGGCGCAGGTGTGGTGGGCGCTGCGGGATCACAGGGGCCAGTGGGGTCCGCGGGCGCATCAAGGATGGTGTCTGGAGGAGCGCCAGGGGCACACTCCCCTGGGAGACGGAGGGTGCGGGACCCCGGGCGCGGAGCCTGTGCTCCTCAGACATGTCAACACTCCGGGGTGGCTTCTGGTGGTGACCGCAAAGGTCAAGTCAGCCAACGAGGGGCGTGGGCGAGGGAGAGGTGACAGGCGTTCGTTACACGGCTCGGGCTTGCTACTTGGTATGCTTGCTCATCGGAACATGGGTGCTCGGGGGAGGAAACTGACGGTGCCTGTGGATCGGGTGTGGACGGACACCCCTGATCCGGCGATTCTCCTCCGGGAGCATGTTCTACAGAAGTGCCCGTGTCCATCGCGATGCCCATCTTGTTAACTTCTCTTTTCGGTGGGACACTGGAGCCCCTGCTCATGCTTTCTGATAAGGGCGACGTGGCAAGTTATCAGCCATCCCTACAACAGACCCTGACAGAGCTGATGACAAAGGAGGGAATTAAATACACACGTATCCATGCGGGAGGCTAACCAGGAGAGGCTGTGGCTTCTCTGGTTGTGGGTTAGGATACACACAGGGTCATCTCCCCATGCCTGAGTGTGTGTCTGCCCAGGGAAAAGTCTGGAAGTATATGCCTGACTGCACATAAGGATTCACTCTACACCCGGAAAGGGAAGTGGGGGAGAAGCGGGAGATTTTCAACGTTTACTGCCCGAGCTTCTGGAGTGCTTAAAAAGTTTGCAACGTACATGCCAACCTCTCTAATTTAAAAGTCTTGGATGATGGGGGCGCCTGGGGGGCTCAGTTGGTTGAGCGTCCGATTTCGGCTCAGGTCATGATCTCACGGTTTGTGGGTTCGAGTCCCGCTGAGCTGTCAGCACAGAGCCTGGAGCTGCTTCGGATTCTGTGTCTCCCTCTTTCTGCCCCTCCCCTGCTCACGCTCTGTCTCCCTGTCTCTCTCTCAAAAATAAACAAACACGAACATTAAAAAAATTTTTTTGAATCAAACAATTATAAAAAAGACCTTGGCCTAATTAGATGGAGTAAAATCTAATTAAATATCTCCTCATTCCTTCTGCAAAGGGCCCCCAACCAAAGGGACAGATGTGCAGGCAGGAACCACGGCTGGTGAGGCCACGCGTCTGGCCCCTCCCGCTGCCGGCCTGCAGTGAGTGGTGAGTGGGGCAAAGTCCCAAGTCTTGGGCCCCAAGATCTACATCCTGAGAGATCTGATTGTCCTACTTGGGAACCGTGTCTGATCCCTCCCCTTCCCTCTCCCAGCCTGTGGCCATGCCAGTGACCGTGTTCTCGCACAGACGTGCACACACCCTTACAGGTACATGCCCCACGTGCTCTGGCCCTGTCTCTCTAGCCCGCATCATCCTCGGGGCCCAGCTTCCCACTTCTCACGCCGCACACGCACCCCTATCAGCATCGGCGCCGAGAACGCCAGCATTAGCGAACCGTGTCCCGGACACGGGCGCTGGCGCAATGCCAAGGCATGCGCTTCCTCCCACAAGCACGCGGGCCTCCTTAGCGGGGGCCCTGGCACTCCTCGGGCCCCGCCTGTGTCGGAGGGTGCTGTCTGCGGGGGTCTCCTCCCTGGAGCCCTCGGGGCTAAATCAGAGGGGTCAGTGGAAGCGCACTTGGGGACGTACCCGAGCTGGTCTTCGTGTCTCTGCTTCATTCACTCTTACCTCTCCTGTGTCGCACCTCCTGTCCGCATCATGGCCTCTTTCTAGAACCTTCTCTGCCCTAGAATTGCTTTTAGGGAATAGTTCAGCAGGACCCCAGAGAAAAGGCATCAGAACGGTCACTGACTTACATCACCCATCCCATTAGAACTTGGATCTAGTTGCAAAGTCAGGCCAGCTGATGGGGCTTGAGGCCTCACTGCGTATGCAAGTGTCCACGACGCTGGCCCCGCCTCCCGGGGCTGGGCTCTCCGACCCGTGGGCTGCAGCCCTCACAGTTCCCCCTTTTAGAGCCAGCTCTGTGACAAACTGGCGGGTTTGAAGGTGGCCAAAGGGGACGTGGCAGCTGCTGAGCAGCCCAAACGAAACGCGGTTCACCCACAGGGGCACCTCCCTCACCCACGTCCCAGGGCAAGCCTCTCGTCCACCTTGCTCAGAGCCCCTGTGCTCTAATGCTTAACGTGCGGTTCCCACACGGTCAGACGTGGGGTTTCTAAACTCACAGCAGGTCACAAGGAACAAACCACAAGTGGACAGCGGAACGGGCCAAGGGCAGTAGAAAGTGACGTGCGACAGGCTGGAAGGTCCTAATGGGAAAGATGGTGAACAAGGAGTCAGTGCGAAACCTGGGCCATCACACTGGAAGACAAATAGCCTTGCACCCCTCAAGGTCTTGAGGGCTCGTTACAAGACCACACTGTGGATCCATCCAGTCTCTTGCCAAGTCCCTACTCTATGCCAGGCTCTCTGAGGGCACATTAGTTAGCCACTGCTTTGGCCACTCGCAGCAGGGACCCAAAATAAAAGTGGTTGAACCAAGCTGTGGGGGGGGGGGGGTTTCTTCAACATAACAGATACCTGGAGGCAGGGAGTCCAAGACGAGGGTGGCTCTTGATGTCATCGGTAACCTTCTATTTTTCCGGTTCACCTCTCTTAGCCTGTGGCTTCTAGCCTCAAAGTCACCTCATGATCACAGTAAGGCTGCTGCAATCCCAGTCATCACATTTAAATTCCAGTCAGCAGAGAGGAGAAAAGGGCAGTAGGGGGGTGGGAAGGCATATTTCCCATCTGAACCAACCTCTTTGAAACAGCTTTCATGGAGGTTTTACCTGATTTTGCTCATATCTCACCATTTCAATGTGCAAGGAGAAAGGGTAATTTCCAGGACAGCCCCAAGAGCACAGCAGTTTGGGAGAAAGGAGGAGAATGAGAAAGTGGTGTTGGCAAGACTGCTCTCAGAGCCAGGCCCCACGGCTGATGCCGGGAGTCGGAGCTCAGGCTTTAGGGAGAATCATTTCCTTCCAAAATGGTTAAAATAATAATTATGTCCTGAGACACAGACTTTCATCTCGATGAACAGACTCCGTAATTTAGGGCAACACTTTCCCAGAAGATTCTAGACTGCAGAGAATTCTGCTGAGTTTGTCTGTTGGTTTGAATTCCATGAGAATTACATTTGTGTCCAGCAAGTCCGCTCGGGGCCTGCTCCCACCCACCAGCATTTACGTCCCTCACAGGTCTGAGGCAGGACACGGGAGAGGTCACCGCTAACCGTGAATGCCCACGGAGGGTCTCGGGCAGCAGGCGCGCAAGGCCTGGTCCCGTCGGTCCCGCCCGTCCCCCTCAGGCCTGTCCCAACAGAGCCCAGGCTGCGGTACCACAGCCACGGCTCTTGCCCGTGGCACCTCTGTGAAGGGAGGAGTCTGCCCCGAGCCGTGAGAAGCCCCGACCACACGCTGGGGCTGCACCTGCGGACGCGGGACGATGCACCTGTCTGTCTTATTCTGAGCGAATCGACGTTTCCTTCGCTCGAGTGGACGTGCTGAAGTCCGATGGTTTTCTGTCTCGGGGGCCCGGGGGCGTTTCAGCGGGGTGCTTGTCTGGGGGCCGGCTAGGGATGGGGGACCCCAAGTGGGCAAGGACAGGGGCAGCGCCGTGCAGAGTCCTCCCGGAGCCAGAACCGCGGGCACGCGAGCAGCCCCCCCCCCTCCGCCCGGCAGCCTCCCCTCTGCTGTTGGCGGCCCTGCCTGTGCTCGCGCTGCGGCATGACAGGGCCAGGGTGTGGGTGGCCTGGCGGGAGAGGAGCACCGCAGATGGCGTCGGGGAGCACGGGCAGGGTCCAGCCACAGGGCCGCACACGCGTGCAGGCGAGTCCGACCCCTCCGTCACCCACCCAGCACTGAGAGCATGCCGTCTGCCGGGCGCTGCCCAGGCACCAGGACCTGTCCATACGGTCCCTGGCCTCATGGAGGGAGAAGCAGAAAGTACCGGGGGGACGGAATCTCAAGAGGCCCCTAGTGGGGGTGACGGGCACAGACGTTTTCCTGGAAGAGCTTCTCAGCTCTGAGCCGCAGGGGAGGGACAGCGCTCCCTGGGGGGGAGGGGAAGGCGGCAGCCGGGGTGCTGGGGCTGCCCTGGAGGGGAGACGGTCCACAGACAAGGGAGGGCAGCCTGGACCCAGGGCAGGTGTCAGGCTGCTGGAGACGGACTCGGGCGGGGCAGGCGCTGCAGGGAGCTGGGGAGCCACGGAGGACAGCCTGCACCGGGGACGGGGTGACTCCACCCCAGCCTCGCGTCCTGCGGGGAGGAGTCTGACTGCGGAGGGGTCTGGCAGGTGAGAGCCGGAGCCTCCCTGGCATCAGCTCCGGGCGCGGGGGGCCTGGGGGTCTGGACGATGCCGCCTCTCGCGCGGTGCCCGCCCGCAGGCCTGCCCCGGGGGAGGTACCAGTGAGCTTCCCCTCGAGGGCAGACGTGCCTCCAGAGGGGACATTTTGCTGGAGGCCTGTCACCACTGGCAGCAGGGACGTGTCAGGTGCACACACGTGTGTCTTCAGGACAGCCTGACCGGCACGCGGCAGGCGCAGTTAGCTCCCCATGACCCGCAGGGAAAGGAGAGCCACATGTGGCAGCCACGGAACGGGGCTCCAGGTCTCTGGTTCCTGCTCCAGGACCCGTGGGGGGAGGGAGGCAGGCGAAGGCTCGGGTCCCAGCCCCACTGCTCACCCACCTCCCTGAGGCCTGTTCTGTGGCCTGTGGGCGGAGGAGCGCGATCTCACCCACTCACGGGGTCGTGGGGTGGGGGCGCCCGTGGGGTCACGGAAACCGCAGCGTCCTTGATCCCGTGCCCGGCGCACGGAGCCACTCGATTCCTGTGGGCACTTAGCAGGGCGACTCGAGGGCCCTGTCATGTGGTGAGTGTGAGCACAGGACGTGAGGCCTGGAAGTCGGGGAGCTGGTCCACGGAACGGGGACTTCCACAGAGTACTTTTCTTCCAAACCAGAGGGCATCCTCCCTCCAAAGCTGACTGCGAGCGAGGGTCTGGCCCACGGCTGGGACTGAGGAGCTCCGAAAGCCCAGACTCCTGGTGGGCTTGGTGGCACGTGGCCCACACTCCCGGGCCCCAGGACTCAGACCCCGTGGAGTCTGGCCCAGGAGTGGGGTGGCCACGGCACCGGCCACAGCCCTGGCCCCGGGCGGGGCGTGCACAGGGCGGGGGGCCGGCGTCTCTCAGGCTCGGCCTTCTGCAAGAGCCGGGGCGGGGCGAGTGGAACATCTGACTCAGCTCGGCCTCTCGACCTGTGTCCTCAGTCACATGCTTGTGGTCAGGACCACAGGCCCCCGTGACAATGATACTTAACCATGAGCAACACAGCAGACAGCCCCTCCATCCCATTTCTGGTGGGGTCCCGCAGGGTTTCTTGAAATCTCGTTCCTGTGGTTGTGATGGACCAGATGCTATTAGCTGTAAAGTTCAAATGCAGGCTTTTCTTTGAAAAAAAAACAAAAACAAAAACAAAAAGAAAACCCAAACTGCCACAATTCAAAGTGAACTTTGTTTCTATAAAAAGGGGAAAAAATTGTACTTTTTCAAAAAACCATAGCCCAAACAGGAACATTTAAACATGAGGCTGATATATAAATACACACGCCCTCTCACAAAAATAGAGCAGTTGAAGTTTGTGTTCTTTTCCCATTGTTTAATGTCACCGAAAACCCCCCCAAAGCCGTCCTGTGGTGACTAAACCCAGCTCGACACTGGTCACACCTCCCCCGGCCACAGCGGCCGATTTTCCGTGGTGGGGGGTGGGGGAGCTCAGGGCGGCGGTTGTGCGTCCACCCCCCGCCCTCCCTCCCCAGTGCATTTGTACTACCTGGCGGGGAGGGGCCAGGGGCCATGGCGGCGTGCCCACGGCAGGAGCGAGGTGCGGGGGTGCGCGTCTGCTCGGGGCTGGTCCAGGTGGGGCTGAGGAGGCGCCCCCCCAGCAGGCGAGGAAGTGGCTGTAGGGAAGGCTGGGGCCCCCGCCCTCCCCGTTGACTCCGCCTGTGCAGTCCCCGTGCAGTGACGAGGAGGAAACACACCTGCTCTGGGCCCCGGCGGCCGAGGCTTGTGTCGCTGTGAAAACAGAGCTGAGAACAGGGCGGAGAGGGCACCTCGCGCCACGGAGAAAATGATGAAACACACGGGCGCGCACAGACGGGGCTTGTCGAAGGGCCAGGGGACCGACTGCAAAGAGCCCCCACGGCCAGAGCGTGGACAGTCTGAGCAACACGATCGGGGAAGCAGTGTCAGACTACACGCCGGAGGAGACGTAAACACCCACGCGTCCACACTGCCATCAACAGATGACGGGAGAGGGGACAGAGGTCCCAACGGGGAGAATTCCAATTTCTTCACGTTGGTTCTCGGCCGTCCGGCAGGTGGGGAGGACTCTCGGCCGCGGACGCCGGGCTGTGCGCTCCTCCCTCAGATGCCAGGAGTGGGATGACGGGCAGGAAGGAGCCACCTCCCAGGACCGCAGCCTGACAGCTCTCCTCAGCCAGCTGACCCGGCCAGGGTCCGCAGCCAGTGACGCGGATGCGATCCGAAGACCGTGGAACCTGCCCGTGACCTTCCTCGCAAAGACCCAGAGTGCTGGTCTGATGGTGAGTAACGTACCCAGTAAATTCCCACAAAACAGCAGAATTGCCAAGTCACCAAAAACAAGGAAAGTCTGGGACACTGTCACCACCAGGAGGAGCCTAAGGAGATGTGGGGAGTAATGGGTGTCACGCGGTGTCCGGATGGGGCTCCGGAGCAGAGGAAGGATGTTAGGTGAATACTACCAAGTCCAAATAGACTGTGGATAAACCGTAATGTGCCAGAATTATTCCACTAGTTCTAAGAGATGCGCAGCGATGGTTAGGTGAGACGGCGATGATGGGGGAGGGTAGCAGGAGAGCATATGGGGGTCTCTGTTCTGTTCACTCGCTTTTTCTGTAAATATAGAACCGTTCTGTTAAAAAAAAAAATCCAGTCCATTAATTTAACAAGGAAGATGGAGGAGAAGGAGAAAAGAGAATTCTCAGGGCGCCTGGGGGGCTCAGTCAGTTGAGTGTCCGACTTCTGCCCAGGTCATGATCTCAGGGTTCGTGGGTTCGATCCCCATGTCGGGCTCTGTGCTGACAGCTGGGAGCCTGGAGCCTGCTTCGGATTCTGTGTCTCCCTCTCTCTCTGCCCCTCCCCTGCTTGCACTCTGTTCCTCAAGAATAATTAAACATTTAAAAACTTTAAAAAAAAGAGAGACTCCTTAGTGCCTCCATGAAGAGTTGACCCGAAGGAGGGTGTGGTCAGCACACAAGGTGGGAGGGACCCAGCTGGGGTGGGGGTCGAGGTATCCTTACGCCCAGGCTTGTGGGGAGGTGAGCAAACCCCCGAGGGGAGTCTGGGAAAGAAGCCCACGGCAGCGACTGAGTCAACAGGTTGCCAGTGCGCCTGCTATGCGTCACCCTGCGGGACGCAGAATTCCTGGTTTGTTAAACTTGACTCCATAAAGGGAGACAGTGTCTTTGCTACTTGTGACCACAACGGCCTTCTGAGGAAGAGGCACCCTGCCCTGTAAAGACCCTCCGTTCTCCAGGCCCTTCTACGGCCGCAGACACGCGGGAGCGGAGCTGGGAAGGGGGTGACAGAGAGACGGAGGCGGATCAGTGAAGAGGGGAGGCCGCGGGCTGCGTGGGCTGCAGGGGCAGGGAGAGCCCTCCGGGCAGGCTGGCCAGTGGGAGCGTCGCAGGGGAGGCTGTGAGCTGTCCGCGTGTGGTCCCCCGCAGGGACCCGGGGCGCCCACGGCTCGCCGCACAAGTTCTGTGGACAGGGGCACCGGGCTACGTGTGTGTCTGGGGATCACTTGGCTGGACACACGGGAGCACCCGCGGGGCGCGGAGCGGGAGACGGGGCTTCCCTGGATGCAGGAACGGAGGCCCCTCGGGTCCTGGGCGTCCTTCCTGGGAGGGGCTGCATGGAGCAGGGGCGTGAGCCTGCACGCCCTGGGGGTGGGGGGCCAGGGGCCCCGACAGGCTTGCAGAGGTGACCCAGTCCGTGTGACCAGCAAGGACTCGGGGCACCGAATGTAGGACGTGAGCCCAGGGCCCTCCTGGGGACCACAGGTGCCCGGAGCTTGCAGACACGAGCTCTCGAGGCGGGGGCTGCGCCCCCCAGGCCCTCAGCGCCCCCCAGCCCTCCCGCGGCGAAGACGCCAGCCCGAGCGGGCCGCCAGCACACAGCGCGACACCCTTCCCTCCACCTGGGTGCGCGTCTGCCCTGCTGACAGCCGTGTCTCCTGGGTGACAGCGGACACACCGCTCACTAGTTAGCACCCCAGAAAACCTCTGTTGGTCTCCTTTCTGGTGGATATTCGGAACCAGAAACCAGTGCGCAGCTGCGGAGTGGGTGCTGGCGGGCTGGGGAGGGGCCCGGAGGTGGGGCAGCCAAGGGCCACTCTGCAGTGTCCCCTTCGCCCGCACTCCCCGGCTGGCTCAGCGCAGCCGCCACAGGCCAGGCCTTCACGGGCAGGTGGCTGGGGGCGTGGGGGGGGGCAGGAGATGAGAGGCTGCGCACCCAGCGATGTCCCCACGGTGGGAGATTCATCAGGCGGTGGAGTGAAGCCCGGGGAGGGCTCTGGAGACAAGGGAGGCTGAAGCCCCCAGGCGGGAGGCAGGACAAGGCTGAGGATGGTCAGGGCCACCCGGGTGGGGAGGGAAGGAGGGGGGGCAGGGCTTAGGAGAGAGGGTCCCCAGGGGGCACCTGGGGTGCTCGGAGCCAAGCACGAATCCCGGTGTGGTCTCGCCAGCCCCCCAACCAGCCCTGTGGGCCAGTACCTGAGGGTCGCCCTTGACCCTCAGGCCCTTCCTCCTCCTCCTTTCCAGAACACTCCCCGACTCCCTCTCACAGGTGCGCGGGACGCCTGGCCAGCACCCGGGTCTGGGAGCTGCACGGCTGTCAGCAGCACGGCCACGTTCAGGCCCACTGAGGTCTCTCCTGAACCCAAATCCTGTCACCCTGTGTCTCACCCGGCCCTCAGGGAAACCAAACTCCCCGTCAGAGAGAACCTTACAATAACTCTTAAAGAAGTGCCCTCAACTTCCAGCTCCCAAGCAAGGAGGGGCCCTGGGCTTGCACCTTGTTGCTGCCGCTGACGGGCACTGGCAGCCGGTCCCCTGCTCCAGGCCGGTCCCAGCAAGGCCACTTGCAGCCCCCCGTTCCAGCCTGTCACCTGCACGCACAGCTCCCCTCCCAGCCCCGACCCAGAGGGTCTCCACCCACCTGCACCCCCAGCAGCCACATGCTGATAGTGAGTCCAGGCCAAACGAGGTCTGCTCGGTCACCGCCCAGCCCTCCCTCCCTCCTTCCCTCGGTGGGGGGGGACACGCCGGCACTGAGCGCACAGCCCACAGCACCCAGCCCCACCGTCCGTCCGAGCAGCAGGCTCATGCCCCCACGCCCCCCTGGGGTGCCGTGTGTCTTAGAATTTCCCCAACACTGCAGAGTGCAAGCACTGGGCACAGCCAGTGCCCTGAGGTTCCAAAGGAAAATGTCAAGACAGTCTCAGAAGCAAAAAAACTGTGTGTGTGGGGGGGGGGGGTGGTGATTTTAGATGGTTAGAAAACGTACAGAAGAGGTAAGAACATACGGATAGAATTCTGACCACTGAGTGTCCATCAGTCCCAGTGACGGGGGAGGGAAGGGTGCCGCGAAGCCGGCGGCCAGGCTGCCAGGAGCCCCCACACCCTTCCCTGCACGCTGCTCTGAGCCTGAAGCCTCGAGTCCCTCCTCCCCCAGGCCCCCAAAGTCCACATGGGTGAACAGTGGACACTGTGGGGCAGTGCTGGGAACAACCAGGGAAAAGTGTCCCTATTTCCCCAAATCCCAGGGGAAGGGAGCTGAAGGGAGCCCAGGAGCAGGGCGCCCCACCCGGCCGTCAACCTTCTCTCGCGGTGGCCAACCCGGCCCGGGGAGGGGCTGCAGGGACCCCGTGGGGCTACTGACCTTGGCTCAGAAAGGAAGCGGGGACCTAGCGCTGAGGGTGGCGGGCACATCTCAACCCCCGGAGCCTGGACTTGGTGTTGTGTGAACGGCGTGGGCAGCACACGTGCCATGCAGATCACCGACGCCCGTGAGCACAGCTCTACAGCCCGATGCCGGGGAAGGCGCTCTGGTGCATGGTGCGTCCCGTGTGATGCCCCCCCCCCCCCGCCCACATTCCTCACAACCACACACGGTGCTGCCCGGAGCCTGTCTATTTCCTTGGGACGGACTCCAAATGGAAATGCCAGACGGGCATGCGCAGAGCCCTAGATTTCAAAGTCTGCTCAGTTCCTTTCTGGAAATGGGGCATCCTCCACCCCACCAGCGACAGGGAATTCCTGCCTCCAGCAAGCTTCCAGGGTCTTGTCAAAGTCAAGGTGCACCTACCCTTTGGTGCTCTAACTCCTCCTCTCAGAAATTACCTGGCGGGAACACTCACACCTGTGTGTAGCTGTACGAACACAGACACACGACGGAATGCGGGAGTGACAAGCAGCAGGCGCTGCCCCTCGAGCTGCTGGCTCTGTGGCCCCCCCGCCCCCCAGCCTTGTCGGCCTGGGCCCGTCCCTGCCGAGGACAGCATCCGGCCTGGGGCCTGCCGTGCCTGGACCGTCAGGACCGTTGCTAGGATTACGAGAGTCCTGATGCTCTTCCGCCCCCTCCAGAGGGCAGGTTCCCCTGGAAGGCCGGGTCCCCCCGCCCGCATCGGCTTTCCTTGGACAAGCGCCCTCAGGGCTTTGACCCCCTTTCCCTGAGCTGGGCAGTCACACCTGATCCCTGGCAACCGGATCTTTCTTAAAAGCATTTTTTTTTTCTGGGAGAATGCTCAAGCAGGGGAGGGGCAGAGGGGCAGGGAGAGAATCCCAAGCAGGCTCAGCCCAGAGCTCCACATGGGGCTTGAACTCGCGACCCTGGGACAATGACCTGAGCTGAAATCAAGAGTTGGACACTCAACCAACTGAGCCCCCTCTGGCCTGCTCCCCCTCCCCCAGCCCTCCTTCCTCAGTCCCCGAGACCCACATCACTCGAGGGGGCATCCAGCCTTCGGGCAAACAAACCGCACCTGTGAACAGCCTCTGCACCCTTTCCTCCCCACCCACCACCCAGACTCTGCTGCCCCTCCATCTGGAGAGAGGCCTGGAAAATTCAGAGAATGTGAGGATCTGAGGGGGAAAAGAAGGGACGCCATGAACAGAAGTCCATCTCTAGGCGGCGGGGACCTGACCTTTCCGGAAATAATCTCTGTCCACTCAGCCCAGTCTCACGTTCATTTCCTTATTCTGTCTGATATTCCCACAACTAGGAACCCATGGAGATGGGTCACAGAAGTGCGACTTCCCACAGGGTAAGGTCCCCGAGACAGGAATCCCTAGTTCGTGGGCTTTCTCTACCACAAGCCCTCAGCTGCTGTCACGCGGCCTGGGGGGCGGGGAGGGCGCGTGTGCATGGGACAGGGCCAGGGCCACCGTGTATGTGTGTGTGTGGGGGGGAGGCCTGGGTGGTAATGGGGGGTTAATGTGAAGCCTCTGGAACACAGGGCAGGGGCCCCAGGAAGGAAGAACACAGAGAGGGGATGAGACCCCACTCTGCTTACATCTGTGCTTGACTTCCTGGGCCACACGCGACCCCAGGACAGAAAAGGACACTCTCCTCGTGTTCCTCTTCTCTCTTTCCTCTTAGCCCCCGGCCCCACATCTCTCCTTCCCCAGCTCTACTGAGATATAAGTGACATATAATGGCGTGTGAGTTTAAGGTATACGATACGATGATTCGATAATATATGCGTGTTATAAAATCTTCAGCACAAGGGTAATTAACACATCCCTCACCTCAAATGACCACCTTTCTGTTGTTGTGGCGAGAACATTTCAAATCTACTCTCTTGGCGACTTTCAAGGGCACTACATAGTGTTCATCACTGTCACCATGCTG